AAGATCAATGCGAAGAAGTGCGAGTGGGCCAAGACGCAAGTCTTGTACTTGGGCCACGTGTTGGACGGAGATGGCATTAAGCCAGAGGACAGCAAGATAGCGGCGATTAGAGATTGGCCGACGCCCCGCACGTTGACAGAGTTGCGGTCGTTCCTAGGCCTAGCTAACTACTACAGAAAGTTTGTGAGGAACTTCTCCACTATCGCCGCTCCCTTGCGCAGGTTGTTGAAGAAAGAGACAATCTGGTAATGGGATAAAGACTGTACGTCTGCGCTCAAGAAGTTAAAGCGCGCGTTAATAGAATATCCTGTCCTCAGAGTAGCGGATCCGTTCTTGCCATTTGTCGTTACCACGGACGCAAGTCAGTATGGGATAGGCGCCGTGTTGCAGCAAGACGACGACAATGGCTATAGACCCGTAGAGTTCATGTCAGCGAGGATGCCCTGTGAGAAGGTCGCTACCTCCACGTACGAGAGAGAACTCTACGCTCTCAGGCAGGCTTTAGACCATTGGAAGCACTRTCTGCTTGGGAGGCACTTCAAAGTGTATTCTGACCATGAGACACTTCGTTGGCTAAAGACCCAAGCCAAGATGGCACCTAAGTTGACTAGGTGGGCCGCAGAGATAGACCAATTCGACTTCGAGCACAAGCCAGTGAAGGGCAAGTACAATGTAGTGGCGGATGAGGAGATCAGACTACTTTGCAATCGTAGTACATTATGTGGATGTAGGGAGAGACCTGCAGGAGAAAGTGAAACAAGCGTATACGCAGGACCCTATCTATAGCGACCTCCTAAAGAGAGTTAGAGAGACCCCAGAGATCGAACCAGATTAACGCACTATAGACGGGTTGCTGTTTGAGAAGACTAATGTGTTTGACCGCCTGTGCGTTCCCAACAGCGAAGAGATTCGTAGTCTAATTCTAGGGGAATGACATGACACTGAGGGACACTTCGGTTGGCAAAAGACGTTACCCAATCTGATGCGTGTGTACACATGGCCAGGGATGAAGAACGACTGCATAGAGTATGTCCGCGGTCGCAAAGTGTGCCAGAGGAATAAATCTACTACACGCGCGCCCCTAGGTCTTCTCAGACCCTTGCCTATTCCAGATCAGCCGGGAGACTCGGTATCCATAGACTTCATGGACACGCAAGTCAAGAGCAGACATGGTAAGAGCCAAGTCATGGTCATAGTCGACCGTTTTAGTAAGTATGCAGTTTTTGTTCCCTTGCCTGCAGAGGCACGTACAGATTTAGTAATACAGAAGTTCTTTGACTTTTGGGTTAGTGAGAATGGAATCCCATTGTCAATAGTTAGTGATAGGGACAGTCGCTTCACCAGCCAGAACTGGCAAGAACTAATGAGAGTCTACGGATCCAAGTTGTTAATGTCGTCCGGCCGTCGCCCAGAGACTGACGGTCAGACAGAACAGATGAACAAGATCCAACAGCAAGTTCTGCGCATGTACATTAGACCAGATCAGATTAACTGGGATGAGATGTTGCCTAAGGTAGCTAGTGCATACAACAAGAGCGTGCATCTATCCACCTGCCGCACCCCCAATGAGTTGCACAAGTCCTTCAGACCGCGCAGACCGTTCGAAGGACTGAACCGGGATCAGATTCACAGATTACCACTCGGTACCAGGGAGTTTGCGATATAGCACGAAAAGGAATTAGCCACTGTTGTTGAGAACCTACGGAAGGCCCAACACATAATGATAGAGCAGGCTAACAAACATCGTCGCCCATCACAGTTTCAAGTAGGCGACTTAGTCTGGATCAAGGCAAAAGAGTTTGCACCGGAAGAAAACATCTCGCAGAAGTTACTGCCTGCATATAGAGGACCGTGGCCGGTTCTAGAAGTCAAGGGCGGAGAGGATGGACCGTCCTCTAGCATTGAGATTCCAGCACACCTCCACACATACCCTGTGTTTCATGCTTCAAAGCTGCTGCCGTGTATCACTAGTCAACAGTTCCCTTCCAGGAGATCCATGATTCCACCGGATATGGATGGAAGCTATGACATAGAGGGCATTGTAGAAGAGGATGTGTTTAGGACAGGAGGTAGAGGTTGTCCCCAGAAACAGTATAAGGTCCGGTTTGCTTATCAGGAACCGGAAGACGACCGCTGGTTCACGAAAGCAGAACTTCGAGAGACCGCTCCCGACATGGTCAGGGCCTATTGAGCGTGACAAGAAAGGTAAAGGTCCTGCCTTGGACTAAAATTTTCTCGGAGGACCTCGAATTTAGGACGGTGGGAGTGAAACGGTTTTCACCTTTTAGCAGTAGCGGATGCAGTACCCAGGGTTCGATACCTAGACCTCACCCTACCCATGTACAGTATCTGTGTAGACCCCGAGAATTGAACCTGTGACCTGTGTATTCGTAGG